ATTGTTCTTCAAAGCCTGGGCCAGAAATTCAACTGCAATAATAAAAATGTATGGAGACAAGGGGTCTCCTTGCCTAACACCCCGGGATACTTTGAGCATTTCACTTGCATGTCCGTTATTTATAACACATGAGACAGAATCCTTGTAAAGACATTTAACCCAACTCCTCAAAGAAGCACCAAAATTAAATAGAGTCAAAAGCTTTTTCGAAGTCCAACAATAACAACAGACCAGGAATATTGTTAAGCTCAGTGTACTGCAACACGTCATACAAGTAACGAGTATTTTCACCAATGAACCTATCTTTAATATATCCAGTTTGAGAATCACTAATAATATCCGGAAGAATCGTTTTAAGTCTCTCGGCTATACAGCCTGAAGCCAGCTTGTAATCTGTATTCAATAATGCGATCGGGCTCCAATTTTTTTTAAAATGGATTTGTCCTTATCTTTCTTAGGAATTAAAGTGATAACACCTTGTTTTTTGTAATCGACATGTAACCAAGAGACAATGAATAATTAATGGACTTTACCAGGAAATAATGAATATCGTTCCAGAAAAACTTATAAAATTCACAAGGAAATCCATCACTACCTGGTGTCTTATTATTTTCCATTTTTTTCAAACTGATAGAATTTCTGTATAAGTGATCTCACCATTGCACTGTTCTTTTTGAATTTCAGACAAACTGGGGCAGGGGACTGAAAAACAATTTTCAATCGGTACAGTAGGTTTCGAGGTATAAAGGTTTTCACAAAACAATTTTTCGGTGTACAAAATTTCCTTAGGGTCTTAAATTAACCGGTCATCATCCACTTTCAAATGTGTTATAGTTTTATCAATATAATTCCTTTTTTCTAAGTTTAGAAAAAAAATTGTATTACGCTCACCATGCTCAACCCATTGAACTTTCGACATCATTATTGCCCCCTGGGTTTTAATTTTCTGCATATTTTCCAACTCTTGCTTCTTATTCTCTAATTTAATAACCAAATCATTAGAGTTTTGTATATTTACTTCTTGTTCCAAGGCGTTAATTGCATTCTCAATTTTTTGAAAATTTTTCACATTACTGTAAGCAATGGTCGTACCCCGTACTTTAAGTTTTAACATTTCAAAAAATAGTTGGGGGTTAATAGAGAAATTCCAGTCATTGTCTGACGATACGGTGTCACCCTCCCCAATTTTGTATTGCTCAACAACCTCTTCGATTGACGTTTT